TGCTGAAGATGTGCTGTTTTCTGTAACTCGGAAAGCGACAAATTTTGCTTTCTGAGATATTTACACTCATCAGCATGGGTCCATTTTATATCTGTCCTATGCACCCCAGCAGACATCCACAATATGCCTGTGGCTTTTTTTCAACACAACAGCAGGACTAATTCAAACAGGGATCAAAATCAGGTGAACAGTCTGGTCAGCTGGATCTCTTGCTCCAGGGATGAACAGTTCTGGACTCTTCAGCAGATGTAAAGAAGCACTATGAAAACCCCTGACCAGAGCAGTGGGAATGGCAGCTTTGAAGCTGGAACTGTGAGCAATGCCGAATCACCCATAGTTACTGCTCAGTTTCTAACATCAATCAAAGAAAACAAAAAATCATGGTAACTTATTGCTATGTCTTAATTTTGGTATATAAGTGGGCATCTGAAGTCTGAGAGAGGGAGGAGAAGGAAGGCGAGAAAGTGTATTCTTGGCACAAACTGGATCAGATCCTTCATCAGACCAGCCCTTGTGGGTAACTGATGCCAAGTCATTTCGAGAGAGAGCTCTGCACTCCTCTCTGTGCAGCAAATATAAATTCCTACATGTGAATATACCTAACAACAAAGATCAGGTCCCCAAATAGCAACTACCTCCTCCCTCCCCCACATGACCGCTACCTACTCTAATGGATTCTGGGCCCTCCCTAAGAAAAACAGAGGGTGAAGTTCTGAAGAAAGAGTAGGTGGTGACAGCACACAAAACTCTCCTTCCAACATCTTCGGCAGGTGTGTTACAGTGGGGATGGGACCAGCGGAGAGGAAAAAGATGATTCTCTACATTGGTGGGGGGTGGGAGAGAAGAAGACCATGGAAGCCATTATGGGAAATCTGAATAGGAGTGACAGAGCAGAAAGACACAAATTCCTGGGAAATTTAGATTTCCTAAAAGGGGCTATTTTCATGCCTACTGAGCGTGCACATGCACATACAGACACACACACTGCTGGGTGCCAACTTTAAAAAAGGAGAGAAAACCCAGAGAAGGCGAGTTTGAAGCCCAAGTCAAAACCTGCAAAATGAAGATAAAATTTTTTTCTCCTTAGAACTTCATCCCTAAGACATGATGTGAGCTTGGGTCTCTGTAATAAAGACTTGGACTTCAAGACAATTAAAAACAATTCCAAATCATTACGAATTCGCTTTTAAAACTACTAAGTAAGATTGTCTCTGGGGCCTTTTAAATTTCTTAACTGGTACGAAATTCTAAAGACCAAGATATATGGTTACTGACAATGTTGACACAACTCATACCCATCCCCTCCCTAGCCCCAAAATACAAACACACATCATCAAAAAGCTTTCTTCCATTCTAGTACCAGATATTCTGCTACTCACCAGTGAATCCTGGAGTCAGAGCTGCTAGTTTCCTGGCCAGGGCATCTCTGCCAATATTCTCATCCAATTTCAGTGGACGAAGGTGGACTTTAAAGATGGAACATCTACCTTTAATGTCAGGGGGCCCTGCAAAACAAGCAAGAGATGGAATTTAAAGTGGACTCTATTTCACAAAGGTCAGGGCTGTGCTGGTTCTCCTTGTTTTAGGAGGCTTCAGGTACACTGCAATGAGGAAACTGCTTTATAAACACTACAGTGGAAGCCTGGTGATACAGTGCATCAGGGATATGGGTGAACTAATGGAAAAGAATTAAGTGATTACTAGGTATACTGCTCTCAGAGTGCTCAGATTCCAAAGGGAGGAGACAACACATACTGGGAGTTGTCTTTAGGGTGCAGAAGCAAGGCAGATGTTAACTATACAAACATAAAATCAGCTCTCAATTCTTGGAGCCACAAGGGAGCAGCAGTGCCCACCATGAATCCTAAGAGTTGGAAGGGTCCTTGGAGGTTAACCTTTCACCCAAGCAGGAACAAATTAAATATCACAAAGCAGTCCATCTCATCTGTAGAAAGCTTGGCTAGAAAATTACTTTTTGCTTTGCTGAAATCTGTAATCTATCCCTTATAACTCCTACCTGTTAAGTTTTACCTCTTTTTCTAAAAATTTCAAATAATGCCAGTTTACCTTTGAGAGTCTAGCCATGAGATCATACCTATTATTTCTTGCAATTAAAAAAAAATATCCTTTCTGAAAATTCAGAATAAAAGTCTAATTCAGCCTAGCACGCCTTTGTTTGGCTATGCTAAATTATAAGAGCTCAAATAATCTCCTTTCCGCAAGGTTTTTGTTGCTTCCACTTCACCAACCAGACCTTCCCTTTCTGGTCAGAATTATAATTAAATGCAGAATTTTTCTTTTGGACATAGCTAAGGTGGGAAATTGTTTTGCTTGTCTGTACATGTTTATAATGGATTTTGTTTTTCATGCTTTTTTCAATGGAGGGAGGTGGGTGGGAAAGGATTTGGAGCAGAAAATAAAATAAAATAAAATAGAGTTTTAAAAAATAATTAAATGCAAAATAACCATTCCTCTGTGTTTACCTTCTGAGACAATGAAACTATTAGTAAGATAAGTAAAAAAAATTATCAGATGCGTGTAAGACCAAAAGCTATTCCGCAACAGAAATAGTCAAAGGATACGAACAGTTCTCAAAAGAACGGCAAACTATTAACAGCCACATGAAAGAATGCCCCGCATCACTAATAATAAGAGAAATGAATATTAAAACAACCTTAAGTTTCCACCTCACCGCCAGCAAATTGGCAAAGATGAAAAAAGATGGGACCAGCCTGTGGTGAAGAGGATGGAGAGCCAGGAACACTACTGTCCCATCGGCCGAACTGTGGGCTGGTAAACCCATTCTGGACTTACGCACATCCAGGGACTAAAATGTCCATACTCTCTGACCCCACGACTCCACTGTTAGGCACGTGCTCCTAGGAAGTTAACGTCAAAACGAAAGACTCCACACACATGAAAATATTGAGAGTGGCACTTTTTTTGGTAGCAAAAAAACCAAGTCACTGCCCTTTGGCTGGGGAACGGATAAAACTGTGGCACATGAATGTAATGGAGTAACACTGTTCTGAAAGAAATAATGAGCATGATGGATACACAAAAACCCTGAAAGACTGACGTAAAGGAGAACTCAAGTCAGCACGGCCAGGAAAATAATCTACACAATGACCACAAAATGGAAGGGGAAAGAATGAGCACAGAACAAGAGAATCCAAAGGATGCAAAATTATAAAGTCCCAGCCTGGCCCAAAGCCCTCCCTCCGCTCCTTGGCAGTGCCGGAGCCATAGGTGGAGGACGCTATGTGGAACACCAGGCTTTTCTGGTATGTTAATTGGCTTTAATGAATCTTTTCTTTAAAAATCTCCTTGTGGGTAGAGGGCAGCTCACCAGGTGGGGAGGGGGATGAGACTTCACATGGACTTTTACAGAGCTAGTCACTGATAACTATTTTTGTCTCTGGCAGTTTTCTGATCTGTTATGATCATCGATGTGCTGGAGCCAGCTTGTACTGGCAGCCGATTATTAAATTTTCAGGAATTTCAGCATCAGTTGTTAAACAGAGCCTGTACAGTTTAATTCGCTCTGCACCTGTAATGTTATTTGTTGCTTTAAAAGAGCTGGTGTCAACTACAGCAGAGTGTATTTTCAATACATTATTGATTACTTTAAACGACTGTGGCTTTAATAATGAATTATCTGAAAACAAACTTTAATTGCATTTTGTTCTGACAGTGCTAATACAGTGCTGGGAAGAAAGTCTGAAGCAGCCATGAAACTGTTAGAAAACTTTCCTAAAATCAGCATTTTGGTGCTGTTTAAATCATCAGTTGCAATTATATCCTGACAATTCAATAAGTGAAATAAAACAAGATGATTTTTTAAAAAGTTTTAAATAAATTTTATTCTTTTTCTCACCAACCTAATAAAAATCAAACTGAGCTATACATGTGGCTAAAGAATCTGAAATCGAAATGATTAAAATTGATCAAGTCCTGGGACTGAGATGGCTGGCATGTAGTTTACCAGCTGCTACTGTTCTGTATGTTGGTCACATTCTACATTATGTTTTCATTTTTCTCTTTCTCATTCTGGTCTACCAAATAGATCAGGTGACATTAATTTCTTGTAAAACCTTGATGTAATGATTGACATTCTTTAAGAATTTTTATTACTTTTCAAAATCAACTAATATTTAGAAAGAACAAAATTAAACCCACCAAAAGAGGTTTGGATAATTTAAAGATCAGTACTGGAAAGCTGAATCTCAAGTTGAGGAAAAAGGAAGGAAACAAACATATCGTGTTCTGGCCACTGCGCTAAGCACTTCACAAATGTCATATCTGATTCTTACAACAAGCCCCTGCAGGTGGATGCTATAGGCAACTGAAGCAAACCAAAGGTTAAATGATTTGCCCAGGGTCACAAAACTAGCAAGTATCTGAAGTTGAATTTGAACTCAGGTCTTGCTGACTCTAAGCCAAAGGTTCTATCTTTTGGGCCATGTTGTTGTCTCAAGTTAATCTGATTAAGCAGGATAAGTTTAACTGAACACATCGACTTATTTAGAAACAATGATGAAAGCATATATTAATTTATTTTTAATTTATTTTTATTTTTTGCTAGGCAATGGGGTTAAGGGACTCGCCCAGGGTCACACAGATAGTAAGTGTCAAGTGTCTGAGGCCAGATTTAAACTCAGGTCCTCCTGACTTCAGGGCCGGTGCTCTATCCACTGCATCACCTAGCTGCCCCGAATATATTAATTTATTAGAACCATCTACCTGGCTTCATGAAGAACTAACTTCACTATGAATAGCTGGTGAAAAAAACTGTATCATTTAAGTGAAAATTTTTTTTTTTAGGCAATTGGGGTTAAGTGACTTGCCCAGGGTCACACAGCTAGTAAGTGTCAAGTGTTTTGGTCTGAGGCTGGATTTGAACTCAGGTACTCCTGACTTCAGGGCCTGTGCTCTATCCACTGCGCCACCTAGCTGCTTCATGAAGAACTAACCTCACCATGAATAGCTGGTGAAAAAAATTGTATCATTTAAGTAAAATTTTAAAACAAGAAATTGATTTGGACTATTTTCAGGATTTCGTAGATAATAATGTAGAATCCAATATATGAAAGGCTAAAAAAAAAGACAGCAAGATTGCTTTTGGTAGTGTTGAAGTTGAGAGGTTTCAGTCCAATGAATACAATTTGTACAAGGATGAAAAATGGTCATACAGCGGATCACACGACAGACTTAAATGACAAAATATTTATTGGACAAAGACTTGGCGGATTGAGCGGCAACTCCGTTTGATGAATCGGGGCTGAACTGCAACCGCAGGCTGGCCATGAACACAAAGAATTTTGGTAAAGATCAGTGAAATTTTTTGGCAAGAATCTATTGGCTTCATGGCATTTACACATTTTATTATGATCTGTGAACTGTGTGCTACCTATACACTATATGAGGAAAATTTAAAATAAACTTAGGTATGAATATACACGTGTACTTTTTTTTTTTCCTGGCAAGCCAGCTGTTAAACATTTACCAGCACATCACTGGTTATAATGAACAACAACTTCATCCTCACATACAATTTCTATTTTAGGCAGGTGGATCTCATAATAATTCATTTCTCTCTTCTAATTCAAATCAGTGGCTAATAAAAATTCATTTATATTTGCCTTAGAGATGCATTGAATACGTTTTTTTTAAATCAACAGATTTACTTACTAGTTTATGTTATCAGAGCACACACCACTTAATTGTGGAAGAAGGGGAAAAAATAACAAGTATAGGAGAGAGTCAGCATGGAATTAAAATTTCACCAAGGATACTCAGGTGAAGAACAAACAGAAGACAACACTGACCAAAAGGAGGCCTGGCAGAGCACAGAGGCCCCCAAATTCACCATGTTTATTCTTCTGCTTTAAAATGCCTAAACTGAAGGTATTAGGATCTCCTAAAAGGAGACCCGTTACTACAAAATAAATGATTCCAATCAAACCTAGGAAAGAGAGGTGAAGACTAAAGTCACATTTTCAGACAGGCATGGCATTGTCATTACCAATGTAAATCTGACGGTCAAAGCGCCCTGGTCTCATTAGTGCTGGGTCAAGGATGTCTGGGCGGTTGGTCCCTGCAAGTACCACAACATTGGTGCTGGAGTTAAATCCTAAAGGCAAAAGAGAAACGTCAGTTCTAACACCAACTGCCAGGATCTGGCCTGGAGCGCTCGGTCCAGACACAGAAAAGATCACGTGACATTGGAAAGCACTGGGCCTAAACTCTGCATTGCCAGAGAGAAGTTGAGAGCCTGTCTCAAGCACCATAACAGCGTACAAAGCAGAGAGTTCATCCCCAGTGGAGAGCTCTCATCAGACTTCCCAGGGTCCTTTCGGGAGTTTTAACCCCAAGCCACACTCACCAAGGAGGAATTCTGACTTACACGTCCAGTCAACCCTAGATCTCAATGTGTTTCATACATCCCCTTCGTTCTCCTAGCACTGTGGCAGGGTTAGGCCTTAATTCCACTGATGGACAGACAGAAACTCAAAAGGCCAAGCTCTCCCAACTTATCAGCTTTGTGCAGGGCCATGGTCATGGCTGAAATACAGCTCTGCGAGTCCCCAAGGCTGGTCTGCAAGGCTGCCAACATCCACTTGCACCAATTTATCCAGACTCCCCAGGTTCTGCCCAGCCAGAATTAGGGAAAGAGAAATGAGGAGGAAGAGGAAGCATGTGCATGAGTTCCCCCTGTCCCCAGCTCCTTCCTTGGAGGATGGCAGACTTAGAGCTGGAAAGGACCTTAGAGGCCATTAAATCCAACTTTTACTGTACAGATGAGCAAAATGAGACTCAATGAGAGTGAGTGACTTGTCTAGGGTCATTCAACTATTAAGGATCTGAATTTGAGTGTGCTCTATCCACTAAGCCACCTACCTGCCTTCTTATTCTCCTTTTTCATTCGGTAAGGTAAAGCATTCTTGGGCTGTTACTATTCAGAGGACCCTTAGGAAGACTCCCCTCCCACCTCCCACCCCAATTCCCTTAATTCCACCAAATGCTAAGAACGTTCCATGTCCACACAAGCTTCTATAGATATCATTAGTGACACTGAATGAAAGCATCTTTTTCTACTAAAGGCATTTGTCCTTAGAAAACAAGCCAGAAGGGATGACTTTTCTAGGAAAGTCTTCAAGTGAAATAAGGTTCTAGAGGTGACACATCTTAAGAATTTCCTCAGAGTTGAACACATGCTGACAATATGAAACCCAGATAGCAAAGACCAAAATTACAGATCACTCCATAGTAACTCACCATCCATTTCCACAAGCATCTGATTCAAGGTGTTTTCCTGTTCACTTTGCCCTCCAAAATTGCCACGACCTCGTTTCCTTCCAATTGCATCAATCTCATCGATGAATAGGATGCAGGGAGCATTTTTTCGAGCCATTGCAAACATGTCCCTAACCTAAAATAAGATCACTGATTCTGTCATGGGTACGAAGGGGATTCCTTGCATCTTTTAAACCTGCAAGGACTCCAAGGCCTTTTGACCCTGACCCTTTTGAAATCCCAGACCCCACAAATGAGCATGAAGCTATAACTCCTTAGGTGCTGACAAAGAGAAATGGTGGCAAAGTTAATGATTTCTCCAGGACCACAGGCAGTATTTCATTCGCCTTCAGGACTTTTATGGATGGGCAGCCCTCAGATTGGAGAGCCTACGGGCAAGAAAAAGTCTGTGTCCAGCAGATGTGGCACCACAACCTTGTACAGATGATGGCAACTGTCTAAACAACTTACCCGTGCAGGCCCAACTCCCACAAACATCTCCAGGAACTCAGAGCCATTCACAGTGATAAAAGGAACACTGGCCTCCCCTGCAGTCGCTTTGGCAAGGAGTGTTTTCCCAGTACCAGGAGGACCGGTGAGCATAGCCCCCTGAAACAGAAGGGTGGTGTTAAGTTCTAAAGGCCTAACAGGCTGGCATCTCACAGAGGAAGACTGGCCAGTAGGAATCACACCCAGTGCTACAAAGTGCACTCCGATAACGACAAGTTCTAAACCATGGATACAAGTCTTTACAACAGATTTCAGCGTTTCCTCTATGACTATGAAGCTTTGGATAAAGGCAGTGAGATGGGGTTGTAGATAGAGTGCTGAAGTCAGGAAGATCTGAGTTCAAATCTTCACTTCGACATATAATAGCTATGTGACCCTGAGGGGATAATAGTGCCTATCTCCCAGGGTTGTTGTAAGGATAAATGAAATAAACATAAAGGGCTTTGTAATCCTCAAAGTACTGTATGAATGCCAGCAACTGTTATTACTACTATTATTATGGGTTTTTATTATTCCTATGTTATGGTTTATACCAGTGATTTCTAACCCTGTTTTTTTAACACCTGAGAGTGTCTTCAGTTATCTTAAGTAGCATTATTAAAATCCATCCCCAACCAAAAAAATAAAAAATAAAAAAAAAAAACCAAAACCCCACAAAACCAAAAACTCTCACCTATTTGAAACAATGAGTGTTATGTAACCTATTAGTTGTGGTGGGCTGGGGTCACAGGGAAGTGGAGAATGGGGGTGACAGAGGGGCTGGTAATCACTCATCTATATGTTAGATTAAATGGGTCAATACCATAAACTCCTACATGATACAAGTCTATTTCTATATACCATCTACACAGCCACACACACAAACACACATACCCCTACACCTATAACCATGTAAACTGATCTAACACGGCACTGGCATACATCATACCATCTGTGGATTTACAACACAGATGTAGCAAGTACATAATTTTGTGTTGAGCAGCTGTCATTTACCAGAGGAAGGTCACATTCCAGAAGACAGAATAAGCATATCCCAGGTGGGGATAAGGGAAAATAGCAGACAATGGCAAATTCTATCCATACTGTTTCCTATAACTTCAGTACTTTAAAAGGGTTAGAATAAGCCCATATATCCAAAAGAGAAATCAAATAAATACAATAATACTCTTAACATAGAATCAGCTTATAATTATCTGTGTTCCTGGATGAGGTGACAGCAGAGATAATTTAATAATTAACCTTTTGAATTTATCAATGTATTTAAATCTGAATATGGCTTGATATGGTGTTCTGGCAACTTATGCTATTTCTTAGCAAGCAGAGTAGCCTCACTGGTAAGGCCTGAAGCTACAGGATCTGGAGGCATGCCATGACTTCCCTCCCCTGAACTCTACTGGGCTCCTTTCTCCCTGAGATGACTCCATGTAGAGGACGACCTCTAACTTCCATGTTAATACAAAACACCCAACTATCTCACCTCTTCCAAAGCAGGCCTGTTCTCTTTCTCAGGATCCCATCTTCCCTGAAATGTGTAAAAGGCCTCCTTACTTCATAGCTCAGGGAACTTTCCATACTCTCTGCCTGCTTGGCTCTAGGTTACATTCAAAATCAGACAAAGGTACTGATTTTAAAAACGAAGACCTGTGAGGTCTGGGTTTCCATAGGAGCTGCAGTGTGAATTAATGTATGCTATCTACCTGTACATATGAACTGCTACGTTATCTATATAATTATGGCAAAACTACAGGCACTAAAATATGACAGTGATTTAAAATGTATTAGAATAAGCAAAATCACAACCAGTTCCAATTCATGCACAGCAGACTGATGGGACTTCCCACATTGGGCCACAAAGACCTCTGTCAGACCTCTGACATTTTATAGCACAGAAGTAGTAACAAGACCTAACACCAAACAGACCACCCTTGACTTTTTCCTATTGAGATCGAGCTGTCAAAGATCTCTCAGCCCCCACTTTTGAGAAGAACACTGCCCCCTGATCTGGGAGCCAACACACCGCAAGGCTCCTAAAAGCTCAGCACCTTGGGGATCTTGGCTCCAAGGTCCTGATACTGTTTGGGGTTCTTCAGGAAGTTCACAAACTCCATGATCTCCAGCTTGGCTTCTTCACAGCCTGCCACGTCAGCAAACCGTACATCGATATTATTCTTCAGGATTTTGGCAGTTGTTTCACCAACACTGAAGAGGCCTCCGCCTCGTCCTCCCCGGCCTGCTCCCATTGGGCTTCGCCTCACAGCGTAGAGGAAAATCCCAATCAGAAGCAAAGTGGGAATCAGGCTTTTCAAGAAGGAGCTGCAAAGGTACAAGAAACCACCACAAACATCACTGTCATTGAGAAAAAGGCAACAAAGCTTTACCTTCAGACCTTTAATTTAAGAACTGCTAAAAAGCAGTTTGACCTAAATATTTCATTATGCTACATGTTACGTAGCAAATTCCTGTTTTAAAAAAGACTTCAGAGCCAGGGTGCTGATCCTATTTTCCCCTGATTCTGCCATCTCTCATTCCTAATACTTCCTAGGGGCTTTAGACACTTTCAGCTTCCTGTTCTGGCCTCCACGAACGTTAGAGAAGATTTACTGCTTTATACCCACCACCCCCAAGACCCTAATATTCTACAATTTCAGTTCCAGAGTTGATCCCACAGTTTCTGCCTTCTCACTCATTAATGACATTACAGTTTCTGTTAAAGGGAGAATGGGAATGGTCTAAGAAAACAACAGTAGTCCTTATCTGGGCAAATAAGGTATTAAAACAAAGTACCCAGGATAACACTGTCTCATTTCTGTTTGTAAAAGGAATTAATACATTACTGAGACCAGTCAATGTTGTTGAATAAACACTGTAACCTCAACACCAATCAGAAAGAATTTCTGAAATTACTTCCATGTTTGTCCATCCACTCATATAAAAAATATTTATTATGTACCTACTATAGGCACAGCATTGTATTCTGAACTGTGGGATATATTCAGAAATGGTAAACATAGTTTCTACCCTTAATGAGCTCACAGCTCATTGGTGAGACAAGCCACAATACAAGAAGAGCATTAAACAATAAAATAGTAAAAAAATAATACAAAATAAAAAGTACAAGGGCATCAAAAGGTACTGACAAGTACTACAAAAGACGAAAGGGGGAAATCACCATGGGATGCATAAAGTAGGTAAGAAGGTTTCAGAGAGAGGTGATGTGAGCTGGGCCCAAAGGAGGGCTCTGTTGCTAATTCCTTCTATGACCTCCTTTTATAAGGTTATTCAGCTTGAAAATTTTCTGCTTTGCTTTTTCTAAATGAAAAAGAATAAATTCACCCTCTTCACACAGGCATTTTAAATGTTAGCTAGTGCTTAAACATTGGAAGGAAGCAGCATGGTAGGGTAAGCCTTCTAAAAAAGAACCAGACGCCCAAGATGAATGTGACACCGATCCATGCACGTCCCAGGGGCCCCTTTCTTCTACTTACCCATCACTCTCGGTGGTATAAATCACCGCTGCCTGATTGGCAGCTTCAATTCCCAATTCCCACTGGGCAGATTCCAAATTTCTCTCAAACGTGTCAACACTGCCGATGTTAAACCACACGGATTTCTGCAGAGACCAAGACACTAAGGTCTAATGGAGCTGCACAAAGCACTAACAATGCAAGGACTCAGCCCATTTTCAAGAGGTGATCCTTATACACTAATGCCTCTTCTGAAGTCATGCTCCTTGCCTGTGGTCATCTGATGTCACCGCTAAGTCTGACAATGTAGGGGAACTCAACCTCGGTCTGGTCTCAGGTGGTTACTATTTTGATAAGTCAGAAGATCTTTCTCCTCTTTTTTCCTTTAGGCTGTGGGCAACCTTGCTTCTAATATCATGGTACACAATGGTTGCAAATGGGCCCCCAGTTCGCCTGTTATTGTCACCATCCCTACCCTTTTGCTTCTGATTCCTCCCAGTTTGCTGAGAGTAGTCTTTAAAGCTGAATTAAAGCAATGAAAATATGGTTAGAGTCATTATACAGGACTCCTGAAGAAGACCCAGTTTCTGAAATATGTCTGGACAAATCAGTTTTGAGTAGACATCTCACCTCAGAAGATGCTCCAGGAGTGGGAACCACACGCACAAACTGTTTGTTCACAACTTCAAGTCGGTCCACCTAGGAAACAGAGATAAGTAGCGATACCCAAGATCCTCTCTTGGCCGCTACAAACACAGGACATCCAGCAGCGGAGTCTGGGCATCCTGCCTAGGATCATACTACCAGGCCCCAAATCCTCCAGCTTTCTCAGAGAGGCTGTTTAATTCTCCACAGTATCTGATGTAGCTGCTCCTTTTCCTCATTTGGACACTGCTAGCCTGGGGTGTTAATCTACGTACATTTCTAAAAATAGGAACCAATTCTAGAGGAGAAATTAACATTGGTTTGGCGGAATGCCAAGGAACTAAGGGTCTCAAAATCCAAATGAATAAGAACCCAGAGAGTATATACCCCTGCCACACTGACCATGAAGTACACCACCTTAAATGCACTTATGATCCTAAAAAGTTAAACATGTCCCACAGACCCATGATCACTGAAAGCAAATCACTCACTAATTTAGTCAAGGGATGAAGATAATGAAAGGCAGATTCATGGGTTTGTCACCTGCTTCACTAATAATGATAGGAATAATGGGAGAAGAAAGGTGTCTGCTTTCTCCCTTAATATGCAATTCAACAGACCTTTACCTAACATTTTCTGCAGGCTAAGTCTTGAGAACACAAAGACAAAAACTAAACAGTTTCTAATATCAAGGATCTTACATTTTTTCTACAACTACAACAGGAATACAACACGTACACAGAAAGCAGAATAGAAGAGAGTTTGAGATGCCCTAATAACTATAGAAACAGGAAGAAATCAAGGCAACCAAAGTGACCATCTTATACTCCAAATAGCAGGGGCACCTGGGTGTCACAATGGATAGATCACCGGGCCTAGAGTCAGGAACACTCACGTTCCTGAATTCAAATCTGGCCTCTGACACTTACTGCTAATAAACGTGATTCTGAGCAAGTCACTTCACCCTATTTGCCTCTGTTCCTCCTCTGCCAAATGAGCTGGAGAAGGAAATGGCAAACCACTCTAGTGTCTTTGCCAAGAACACCCCAAATGGGGTCATGAAGAGTCTGACTCAACTGAACAACAATAATTAGCAAGAATAGTAAAAGAAAAGAACAAGATAAAATCCAAAGGAGGCAGGGCTGTGGGGAAATCAGCATTCTACTACATTCTTAGTGAGACCATCCTGGTTTATTTTGAAGAAAAATACAGAAATAGTAAAACTGGGGAAGGCCTTAGAATGTCCAAGTGGAAAACTAACAAAGCCTAAAATAACTGATTTGGGTCTTGTCTTGGGGCTCAATGAAGGTGAAGGTAAATGTTTCCAATTCCAAAGTATCTACAACCTCAGATAATGCCATGACCCAATCACGTTCATTACTCTTTCTACCCCAAAATGAGATGTCACCGTATTTATTTTTAACTTGTATGCTAAAGCAGGATGTTACTTAGATAGTACTTAGGTCAACAAGGCATGAAAATACAGTGTTTCTGCTTTGTCCTCACTATTATCTCCTCTTCCTTACTGGATATAAGAGCCCAAGAGGCCTGTCCTACTTCCTCTAGATGACAGGGGTGGGGAACCTGTGGCCCCGAGACCACATGTGGCCCTCTACATCCTCAAGTGCAGCCCTTTGACTGAATCCAAATTTCCCCTAGGGATTTGTCCTGTGAAATTTAGATTTAGTCAAAGAGACACACTTGAGGACCTAGAGGGCCACAATACACAGTTCCATAAAAATTACACTGAATTGTTTGAATGTTACAGGCCAGTATACCAACATAAGTACTTTTAGCAATCACATCTCTACCTAACTGATACCTAGGAAGTATTAAGACTGATGCCACTGGAATATGCTGCCCCACATTGCATACATCTTGAGCTGAGATGCACAAATAAGCTTACTGATGTGATGAGGCTACAGGTCTTAGGAAGCCTGCTTCAGCTTACTACATGGTCTAGAAAGGGGACTGCATTCACACCCACCTTTTATAGTTTCCCATGCTACATTAAATTTCCTTGTATACAAGAGATCTTAAAGCCAGTGCTAAAAATTACCTATAAGTAACATGATCTGCATAATGCAGAGGGTAAGACATTTTTATACTCCCTCAAAGGGAGAATAAACATTTTATTTTAATAGAAGATTTTAAGTTCTGCCAATGAGCACAAGAGAAACGTGAGAACAGAGAGCCAGGCAGAATTTAATTGGGAAAGAAACTATACACACTTGAATGAAATGGAATATTCCCTGGAGTTTAGGTGCAGGCTGAGTTTCTAGAACGGGTGCTTTATTGTCACTTGTGCCAAGCAACTACCCTGAGGATCACTTGGAAAAAGAAAACAGAAAAAGCAAAACTATGCCCTGGGAATAGAGCTCACACATCCAGCATCTTCAAGGCCCCAAATATTCCTGGCTCTTCCACCTTCTCCTCTGTTCAGATTCTGACCCAATAACTGAAAAAGGCAATTCTTTCCTAGAACAGTGATAAAAATAGAAGCATGCTGGTATTGGTACCCTAACAATTAATGGGCCCAGATGGAACTTGCATCTAAATTGTCATATTTAAAGACAATCATTTCAAGATTTCTTTATCAAAAGGAAATAATCATTTTGGATGCACCTCAACTCTTCAAAACTCTATTTTCCTTTAGCGAATGTTCTTTTGAGGTCAGATGGGAAACTGAGGATTACTCTTTCCTAAATCTGAATTGGCATAGTGCCCACTAAATACCACTATTATCCAATTTCAGTATCACCCAGGACTTTAGACCAATATTGACACGTCCCTCAAGGAATAAAAGAGAAGAGCAATGAACTATCCAAGATACATAAAATGTCTATCTTACACTACTTTTCAAGGGAAAATCTTGCCTAGGGGGAACCCATCAGGCTGGACTAAGCACTCTCCTGTGGGGCCTTGGTGTTTCAGCTTTTATGTTTGTAAACATCTTAGGCCCAGAGCAAGCTGAGAAGAAGAGAGCCAGGCTGTAGTTCAAAACCCTCTAATACATCTGTCTACTGTGCACACCACTCTGTCTCACCTCCCCTTTCGAGCCTGGAGAAATGAAAATAAGTGGACTTGTAAATTCTGTGAATTCAGTTGTTTCTAAAGTAGAAGTGCTGCTTTCTGAAAAAACAAGTCCCAAATAATGCACTGAACTCTGACAAAGGTATCAGATATCCTGCAGCATAAAACAAAATCTATCTGAATAAACCAAAATTGCTAGTTTCTGGTAATGTTTCTAGAGATCGCCTATGAAAAGCATCTTTCTAGGAGTATGGACGACAGGAGGAGAAGATCATGTTACGAGTGGACACTCCTAGTAGCAACATAACAAGTCAACTGGCCCCACCCCAGTTTCTGCTCTAAAACCACTGCTCATTTCAGCACTTCTAGGAGGATATGAGCACAGCTACTCTAGCAGTATGTGTCAGCTGATGGTCTTTGTGAAATTTTGTAGCAGAAAAACTATCACTGATGGGCCAGCCTTACGGTCATGTGCTTCCTGCTTGGCTAAGACAGTTATACAATTTGTCTGAACCCTTCTATGAAACCTTTCCGCTTTAGCAGCACCTACCAAACCTGCTGATATAACCCCTGAAGACAGTCTCCTTCACGTCACCATGAGGCATGTAATAGTTGTAGAGGATGAGAGAGTTACAAGTAAAGAAAGTAAGCTGGAGCAGTAAGAAAAACTGATCATTCTCCATCCCCTCCACATCACATGGGAGAAAGATGAAGTACATTTGATAGGACCACAAATAGGTCAAAAGAGATGCTTCAGCTGCCCATACCCAGGAGCAGCCATCCTTCCACATATCCAATGTAAGGCTTCAGCAAAAATGCCCCAGTGGATTTCCTTAGTCACCCTTAATCAAAAACAAAATGTATGTGGAAATCACGCAAATACACAGGTTAAGGTGGAATTTTGCTGTCTCTCTCCTTGTTACATACACAATATTTTTTCCCTCACCAGTCCTCTGGCCAAGTAATACTGTACAAAATGCTTCCAAGTGATTTCTTTTCCAGAATCTCGAAAATAGAAGTAGAAGAATCCCATAGCGAAGCCTGCTCCCATAACAGCCAGATTACGGAACTCTTTGTTGTCCCAAGGGAATTCTCCCTGTGGAAGAGAAACCAATGAATTTCACACAAATGAAAGGATTATCTCAAATCCTAGAGAAGCATGAAGATGGCTTTCTTTTTCTTTGAGCTTCATCACTGGAGTTACCCCTAAACTTCCCATATTCTAACATACCTAGTGTTTCTGCTTTCTAAGTCATGTGACTGGTTCAAAAAACTGTTTTTATTTTGAGGAAAACTCTTAGCCACTGCCTCTGGAAATACACCAATGATCAGGAACTCCATTATAAAAGCCAGATTTTAGAGTTAAAAATCTGTATACAGGTTCCACCCTACTTGGATGTTTTTATAAGATTTGCTGTTTTGTTTTTTTTAATCAACTAAGGAAGCTCTTTGAATGAGGTATATAATTACTAATGCAGCAAACCTAAAGGAGATTTAAGAATTAGACTGTTCAGAGTTTCAAATTCCATAGTTAATTGTCATTTGAGAAAAGAGCCCAGTAGAGGTTATGGTCACATATTTAGGTTTGGATTAATTTGATGTACATCTGGGGAACTCTACACACCTTCTGTATCCGTTTCCACCATGCAAAGTCATCCTTCTTCCCACCTCTTTTGCCACCATTTCCTCCAAGTCCATGATCCTTTGATTCATCAGTATCTAGAAGAAAACAAAGTTTGGCTTGAGAAAACCAGCAAATGACTTCCAGAAATAGTAACCACTATTCTATTTAGAAACTGGTAATTGTAGTGGCAGGGGGCAGACAGAAAATACCAGGCTAAAAAAAAAATGCCAAGGGCTGAACAGGAAATTCAAATTCTCATTATAATGGTAATGAGAACTAAGGTAGAACAAGTTAGTAAGAAAAAGACTTAGTCATTATACTACATGCCTGACAGGGTGCATTACCGAAAATTAATGGTGGATCCATGGATATTGATGGATAAATAAAATATCTGAAGCCTTCAAGAAACAAAACAAACATAACAACTCTAGAAGATTACTCACTTGACCTCTAACTTAGTCATCTAGATTCAAAAAGGTCCAAGAATTGGGATCCATTGGGGCAGAGATCTACTTGATGTCACACAAAGCACCTGCATCTGTTTGCACTACACAAAGTCTTTTTTGCTCCTGTCTTGCTAACCTCAAGTAAACATCTTTCACTAGTGCCACCTTTGCCTGTCTCTAATGTGTCTTTCTGAGAAAAGTAAGAGCTAACTGTTGAGCAGTGGCTTTAGGTGCCTCTGTCAGGTCCATCTGCTCAACTTCTTGGTCAGTTTAGAGGGTGACTTCAGGCCTGTAGAGAAAGGATCTGTAACAGCATCAGCAGTAGGTCCTCGATGGTCAGGAGTCCTATATTGATGCCAGTAAGTGCAGGTCACAAACCTGACAGTACCAATAGCAACTGTAGCTGGTGTAGCTGGTATAGACACTGTTCTGGACGTTGGTGTAGACACTGGTGCTACTCTGTTGTGGCTCTGCCCCCACCTCTCAGTGTTGATGCTTCTCTTTGACAGATTTGCTTTATTTCATCATTTCTTCTAATCAAAAACTATATGATAGTATTATGTCTTGTCTTGGATATGGAGCTTGCCATAGTTATCCAAGTTTTTGTGAACTGCACAGAGCTGTGGCTGAAGTCCTTATGGGCTCCTTATTTACTTCCAAGGGCAAGTAAGGGTTTAAAAAGCTAAAAATCCCAACCTAAGAAGTAATCTTTGTACTTCTATAACAAGATCATTAAAATAATCTACTATGCTCCTGATGAAAATTCTTTCCTTTCATAGGATAATAGTATGTTTTCATGTTTTTATATGAATGAGATAATATTTGTAAAAGTGCTTATCTGGCACACAGTAGTAGTACATAAATGCTCATTCCCTTCCCGTCCCTCCCTACCCCACCACCATTTTATATCTCAAGATGATATGAAGGGAGAATACTTGAAGCAAGAATGAATTATTAATATCATGCTAAGCAAATGATGCTGCTTTAGTAAAATTTTAGTCTACCAAGGGAGGCCCAGCACAGAGGACAACCTTCTTGCATGTCCCAGCAGGCAGAAAACAGTACTGCTGAATGAAAATGATGGCAGAGTTTCTCTGCTATTAATGGCATAATGCTACGATGCCAGTAGTGTCCTAGGTCAGCACTGACGAATGCAGACTCTCTTGAAGTACTCTCATTCCGAATGAGACATGAAACAATAAACAAGAAGATAAGTGAACAAGTTTTCAGTTACCTAAGACTAGGAGGTACACAGAGCACCCAGAACGATCCTATGAAGTGTGAAGTACAAGGACTTCAACAGACATTTTACAGAAGAAAAAACAGAGGTGAACTCAACTGCCCAAAGTGGCCAATCAGTCAGTAGACAAGGCAGGACTCAAAACCAGTTCTCCTGGAGCCAGAAGCCAGCCCAGGTTTCTTCCTACTGCAAGAGAGATGCCTAGGTAGGAAAAGGCTACAGTGACATACAATGTGAATGGTCCTGACTTTGCAGCTTTGGAATCTGTCTGGATCACAAACGAGGAGCATAGCTGACCGTATTATAGAATGTAATTTAGTAGCCTGCTTCAAGGCTTAAGACTAGAAATAGCACTGCTGGTAGACCAAAACAAAGGAGTGAGGCAATGGAGTTGGACAGCTGGAGATGATGGGCAGGGGGTGCAGAAGGGTAAAAAAGAGAAGGTGGCATCCCCATCCAAACCTGTTTTCCATGGCATGTGATCAGTAGGTCATCATACATGATCACAATAAGAATTCTTTAACTTAAAAAATGCTTCGATGCAAATTGTGGCCATTTGGGAGGATTCCTTTACCTTTCTCTGGAGGTGCTGACTCTTCTTTGCCCGTGCTTCTTCCACTTCTCTTAAAATACTTCTCAAAGCCTTAGAGACAAAATGGTTAAGCTCTGGGCCTTTAATGTTATCAATCACACAAGCTTTCAAAAGTCCTTATGTAACATCAACTCAGGAGGGTGAAACTGGGCTAGAACCCGCACCTTTCCCCCCTCTTTCCTTTCTTGCTCGCTAGAATCAACATTTAGAGCCAGATTTCCTAGCAAGCAGGATGCCAGCAGCTGATCTCAGGACAACAGAAATCCCAGCAGGAAGGGCCTATCAGCAACCTAGCCTGCAGGTTCTATAGCATGCTTTCTGGATGTCCTGTCCTTCATTTTACATAACCAAAGCCCTGCCAACTGCTCTCCAGCTACTTCTACCAAAAATGGATCAATTTTCCAGCTTTGGCTTCTTAATGCAACTTCTCTGTGAGTGTAGCCTGCATATAACCTCTACTTTGACTTCTTTGCTCAAAGGAACACACTCAGCTCTCGGATAAAAGTAAACAGGGTTCTGACCCTATTAATTCAAACAGCCTTAAGAGGACTCATAAATCAACTTCCTTCTGGAAAAGCTTCACTCCCTTCTACGGTGTCATCCACTTCCCCTACTGCACTAAGGAGGTGAGCCACCGTTCCCCAACTCACTCTCAGTCAATGACAAAATTGCTCTTTGAATTCCTGTAAAAAAAAAAATACTTCTAGAGAACTTCTGAAGAAAAGTATGTACCTTTGGGAACTTTCGAATACAGCCACTGGGAAAATGATGTCAGTCTTCCCTGCAGAACCAGCTGCTGAAAGTAGATTCCCTGGAGACATTAAAGCATTAAAGATAATCAGTATCCTCTGCACCAGCAACATATTAGAGCACTTTCTCACTTTGAGGGTTATGGATCCCTAAGGGGACAGGGATAGGGGTTGAGGTTTAAGCCTTCAATCTTGATCATTCTGCTTACATAATGTGAAAAAAAGTGATTCTGACAGGGAAAAACATAAACTAAATTCACCACAGTAATATATGGAAAATTTTTATAACCCCTGCTGTTAGCGGCAAAAAATCTAACTACTGTTTGCTTCAGGCAGTCCAGGCTATTGGATTATTACTGTCACAATAATATACCTTTCTGAGAAAGACTGAAGGTAGATAGGAAGAAAATACCAAAAGGTGTTAGGATTCAGCTGTAGGCAATCTAGAAAATAACTTTTTTTTCCCTCTGGAGTCAAGAAAAGAAAGAATAGAGGTTAGACAGGCTCCATTTATTTTTGATAGAGAACTTCAGCACAGAGAGAAAAATGCTTCTGTTTTTATTGCATACTTTAAAACAGTGGGAATTGTTTTTATATTTATTTCTTATAATATTTAACTGCAAGCACAACAGTCATAGAAGCATATGAACCCAGTTACTCCAGGTCAAATTCTATGATGGTAAATAGTATCACAACAAAAAGCTCAGGACATGATAGTGGGTATATGCTTTTTCATTTTTTCACTGGACCTGTGACTTTGATAGTTTTGAAGAACTCTCACCACCAACACATATCAGCAATTCCACCATGAGGCCCCATGAGGTTAGGTAATGTGCGCAGGGTTGAAGTCAGTAGATATCAAAAATGGGACTTGAACTCTGGGCTTCCTAGCTCTAAGGCATGGAGTTGTAGAGAAAGCTAGCCCAGGAATTAAGAAGATCTAGGTTCCAGTTCCACCTGACACTATCTGGCCGGCAAACTTGTGTAACTGCTCAGCACTCTGGGAAACTCTAGAAGACTCTAAATTACAGAATGGTTGTGAAACCATAATATCAGAGAGAGTTTTCTCCCTGGGAGCTCCCTGTACCAAAGAAGACACAGATTAGGACCAAAATATATACATAAATGGGACATACAGACATATACCTCTATTGATCAAGGGTAGGAAAGCTGCTGATGAATAATTACAAATTAGACATCAAAGCTATTATACATTGTTCCTCATTAGTAACTAGGTTCTCTCAAATGCCCTCACACTGTGTTTGCTGACTTTCTGCAGGGCTCTTGGCCACTGTTGGGGCCCAAAGCAGGATTGAAGTCAGAATTTAAAAGTAAAGTGTAATAAGCCAAGTTAGAAAGGCGACTTTCCATCAATTGGGGAATGGCTGAACAAGTTATGGCACATGATTGTGATGGAATACTACTGTACTCTAAGAAATGGCCAGTAGGATGAACTCAGAAAAACCTGGGAAGACTTATATGAACAGATGAAAAGTGAAATGAGCAGAACCAGAACAACATGGTACACAGTAACAGCAATATTACACAATAGTCAACTGTGAATGACTTTACCATTCTCAGTGACACAATGATCCAAGACAATTCTAAAGGACTCATGGTGAAAAACGCTATCCACCTCCAGAGGAAGAACTGATGGAGTCTGAATGCAAATCAAAGCATACTACTTATCCCTTCATCATTTTTCATGGGGTTTTTTTTTGGGGGGTCTGTGTTCTCTTCACTTTATTATTTTTCATGGGGTTTTTTTGTCTGTTTTCTTTCACAACATAACTAATATGAAAATACGTTTTGCACAACTACACATGTACGATCTATATCAAACTGCTTGTCTTCTCAAGAAGGCAGGTGGGGAGAAAGAATTTAAAAAAACAAATGTTACAAATTGTTTTTACATTGTAACAGGAAAAAAAAGAAAATATTAAAAAAAAAAGAAAAAGAAAAAGAAAGGCCATCTATAGCTAACAGGAATTCACACATGTAAAGTTAAATTAAGCCTGTAGGAAGGAACCCTGCTCAGAGGCAATCAAATAACCTATGTAAAATAGAACAGAAGACAGCCAAGAGCTGCCCCAAAAATCATGGTGTTGTTCAAGGATCAAACTACCAAAATTTGTGTAGAAACTGGAGTCACTAACCCCTGTCCTAGGTATTCTCTTGATCTAAATATCACCACCTCAACTGGAGGCAATTTTCCCTTCATTTAATCTTACAACTCGACACTCTTATTTGTATCCACTTTATCCTCCCTAATAGCCTTAAATAGCTGATATTTAAGCTCTTTGAGAGCTAGGATGGAATTTCCCTCCAAACCAAGCCCATACAGGAGAAGTGTGGCAGAGGAAATGAAATGCTGGGTTTAAGTCAGAAAGCCCCAAGTTCAAAGCCTGCCTCTGACACTTATTGATTTTGTGAACACACTGAAGTCACTGAGCTCTCTCAGTACCACTATCCATCTGTAAAATGGGGATAATATCTGTAGAACCTACCTCACAGACTCATTGTTTAAAGGCTCAAACGAAATAGTGTAAAACACTTGTGAATTTTAAAGCATTATTGTGTCAGCTAATATTAGGACAGTAACTTAAGTGTTTTGTTGCCTATTTTTCTCTCTTCTTTCATTCAATACACGTTCATCACCCAGTCAAGATTGTGGTGGCTGCTGTCTACCAAGCTCCAAGACAGTCTCCTTCCTTTTTCCGTAAATTCAATGCCTGGTTCATAGTCTTTCTCTCCTCCCCAACTCCTGCCTTCATAATAGAGGACTTTGACATACATATTGATACTCCCCTCAAACACATTAATCTCAGTTTCTCAACATGATTCGTTTCCATGCCATCCCAACTACACAGAAATGGTATCATATTTTTGATCTTGCCATCACCCATGATTAGCCACTTATGTGTAACTCTGAAATTCTTCATTCTACCTCTCCCTCAGCCTTGCAACCCAAAACTTAGCCTTTGTCCTCACCATGACCTCCAATCTCTATAACCCCCAGTTCTTTCCCAGGCCATCACTACACTGGCTATACACTGCCTTCCTTTTTCCAACCTGACCCCCTGGTGAACCAGTTCAACTCTACTGCGACACCTTCTCTCAAATTTACCTCCTTTTTTCATCAAAAAATCTTGTCCTGCCATGCCTTTGACTTAGATAATTCTACCATCCACTGCCTTCCCTTCTACACCCCTCCTTTTCCTCATTTCACATCACTCAGATGCTTCCTGCCACTTCCTTCCTCAACCCATCTCACACAAAGTGGCCCTTCTGCTTGCCAAGGCAAACCTCTCTAGAAGCACAAATGATCCGTTTTATCCATATTTCCTCCTGTATCACCCTCACTCTCTCACCTTTAAGTTCTCCCTATGTCTATGTGTGCTTCCCCTCCCTGTCAAAAAATTCTCACTTTATCCATTCATCCCTGCTAATTATGGCCCTATATTGCTTCTGCTTTAGTGGCTAAGTGCCTAAAAAAGGTCATCCGCAATAGATGCTTCCACTTCCTTGCCTTTCACTTTCTTCAGTTCCGTTTTTAACCTCACCATGAGATAAAACTGCTCTCTGCAAAGTTACCAACAATCTTAATTTTCTATTCTAATTTTTTTTTCCAATTTTCATCCTTCTTGACCCTCTGCAGCCTTTGACACCGTTCATGATCTTCTCCTTGACATTCTCTTCTCTCTAGGTTTTCCTGACACTGCTCTCTCCTGTTTCTCCCTCTGACTGTTCCTCTTCAGTATCCTTTGATGGATTCTTCATCCACATCACACCCGTCAGGTCTAATAATTGTGGCTGTCTCTCAAGATTCTGTCCTGGGCCCTCTTCTCTCTCCACTTATAGACCCCTCCCCAAGCCATTTTGAACCCCCAAGTCCTGAGAAAGGCCTAAAACCTGGATTGGCTAATCAGGAGAGACATTTTGGCCCGGGAAGGACAAACCACCAAGTCCCACCTTCTGCAAGAAGGCTTTCCCAGTCCCCCTCAATACCAGTGGCTTCCCTCTGAGATTATCCATGATTTGCCCTGTATATATCCTGTTTGTAGTCTTCCCCATTAGATTTTAAACTCCTTGAAAACCTGAAACATTTTTTTTTTGCCTTTCTTTGCGTCCCCAGGGCTTAGCACAGTACCCGACACGTACTAAATGCTTATTAATGTGTATCGACTTTCATGGCTAAAGAACTGCAGGTACATGAGAATGAAGACAGAATAAACAGTGTGTAAAACAATCCATTTAGCATGGCTAGCCAATCAACAGAAATGATAGCTCATGACGTTCATCTCTCCTCCACGAGCTGGGTCACTTTCCTTTTCTGCATCTGTATCTGAGGGGATCAGGTTAGATGATTGCTTCCACCTAACATTCTATGTCTGTGAAACTTTCCATACATTCTCCTTCTACCTCCAAAAGAGTGCCTTCTCTTCATGTGAACTTTTGGCACTTTTGCCCTCCTTAATTTTGTGACTTACAGCCAGAACAAAGTTCAGCCAAATGTACTGACTTGGCTGCGTGTCACATACTCCCTAAAGGCCACTGACGTCTTTGAGAACAGGGATAACATTCATCTCACATTAGCTCTGGCTCCTGGACGCCTAGCGTGGTGAAATGCACAAATGAGGTTTGCCATTAGATGAGTGAATTAACACACGTGTGCCTTGGCTGGGGGGTGGGGGGAGGAATCAGTGCCAGTCAACCAGGTAATAAGCGTTTAAGCGCCTACTATGTGTTAAGCGCTGGGGATACACAGACAAGCAAAAACAGGTCCTTGCTCTCTAGGAGCTCACAGCGTGCCAACGGCTAGATACAAACAGACGATCAAATGAGGGAGAGGAGGCTGCCACACGATGCAACCTTCAGTTAAGGCAGCGCGAGCACGACACGTGGGAGGGAGGAGGAGCCGGAGGGATGAGCTCCAAGATCCCTTGCATGTCTAGATCCCAAATTTAAAGGCCGTGGGGATGGAAGGCGCCCGGCCCAGAATAGTTAAGCGCAAGCGGGGCACCCAGGCCTTCCCGGGGAGTCAGGAGCCCAGCCCGCCCCGCCCTGCGCGACCCCTCCTGCGTCCCCCGCGCATCCGGCGCGCCCTGATGGCGTCATCAAGGCTCTGAGACAAGAAACACCGCCCTCGGCACCGGCCGGAAACAGGCCGGCGCCGGCTGCCCCGCTCACCTGCCGGCTGGTGCGCAGAGCCCTCAGGCCCACTCTGGCCGTGCTGTGGTCCCCGGCGCCCCAGCCGCATCTCCACAGCGCGGCCAGCGGCAGAGCCGCCCTGCGGCTCCCCACCGCCGCCAGCAGCCTGTGCGACATGCCCCACCCCTTGACCTCGCGCCGCCCGGGCACACACACGCCGGCGCAGGAGCGCAGCAGTCATAGTCGCGCCACACCCCTGACGGCCCCTCATGGCTCATGCGTAATGAGCACTCCAGGCCCCAGGTTGAGGTGTCTACGGCGGAATCTGTCTTTGAAAGAAAGCCAGGAAATAGACGCGCGGCGCGACAAAGCCTGTCGGCTTCGGTCCCCTCCAACTGTGTACCCGGCATTGGGTGATGCCCAGCGCAGGCACCTTCCGAGACGCCTACTTCCGGGGTCTTCCCATTGAATCGAAGTTTTCCGCCCCGCCTGGCTTCCAGGCCTTTCAGCTACTTACCCGTGACAGAACGAATCAGAGAAGGGAGCCCCTTGTCCCTGTGTCCCGGCTCACTCCCACTTAACGGAATTTTGAGTTCCTTCTTTCTCACAGCACCAACCCCCAAAACACACCCACACCCACATCAATTTTTCCGTTTGTGCAGCAGGGCCAAGCTGAGAATGCGCCATCCCAGAGTGCCCCGGGCCGGGGAATGAGTCAAGCTGGGGCCTATCGGTGGCCTAAGGTCCTCGCCCCAGCCAGGGCCTCGACCCTTCCGTGCCTAGGACTGGGGTGAGCCCAGCAGACGAAGGGGAGTGCCGTCCTCCACCCCAAGCAGAAGAGGCCCGCAGCCACCCACAGAGGATAGGGACTTTTATCAGACTTCAGAAGTGAAAATGCCAGGGAAGAGGCCTCTAAGTGTGACCAGCATCAGGTGTGCAAAAAGGGAGCGCAAAGCAATCACTTTAGATGTGAAGCTGGAAGTGCTGAGGAGGTTCGAGGAGGGTGAAAAGCTCAGCCAAATCGCGAAAGCCTTAGGGCTGGCCATCTCCACCGTGGCCACTATTCGAGACAACAAGGAGAAAATAAAGGCGAGCTCTGAAGCGGCCTCGCCTCTAAGGGTCACTCAGCTAACCAGGCATCGAAGCGCCGTGATGGAGAACATGGAGCGGTTGTTAAGCTTGTGGATCGAAGACCAAAGCCGGCGGAACGTGCCGATGAGCACGATGATCATTCAGGAGAAGGCGAAGAGTCTGTTCGACGACCTGCAGCGAGAACAAGGCGAGAGCTCGCACACGGAGACGTTTAGTGCCAGTCGGGGGTGGTTTGTGAGGTTCAAAGAAAGGCACGGTTTGCCCAGCTTCAAGGTGAGTAACGAGGCTGCCAGCATGGCTGGTGAGCTTAGGTATTCAGAAGTGCTGAAAAGCATCATCCAGAAGGGTGGGTACACACCTCACCACGTTTTTAACATTGGAGAGACAGGACTTTACTGGAAGCGTATGCCTGAAAAGACATTTACCTCTGTGGAAGAGAATGCTGCCCCGGGGTTTAGATCAGCCAAAGACCGCCTCATGCTTCTTCTAGGAGGCAATGCTGCTGGTGACTTTAAGTTGAAGCCTTTACTGGTATATCATTCCGAAAATCCCAAGGCTATGAAGGGGTACTCTAAGCCAAATTTACCTGTGATTTGGCGCTCCAGCAAAAAGGCCTGGGTAACAAGGAGCATCTTTCATGAATGGTTTACGTACTTTTTTTGCCCCGCTGTCGAAAAGTACTGTGCCCAAAATAATCTTGCCAACAAAGCGCTACTCATCCTAGAAAATGCCCCGTGTCACCCTGTAAATTTAAGTGACCTCTCTGATAATGTAAGAGTAGAATACCTCATTGAAAACAAAGCTGACCCCATCCAACCCATGGGTCAAGGTGTAATATCCACCTTCAAGGCTCATTATCTGAGGAAGACTTTTCAACATCTCATAGGAGGAACTGATGGAGAGGATAAGGGTACAATTAGGGAATTTTGGAGAAACTACAACATCATGAATGCTGTGGATAACATTGCTGAAGCATGGGATGAACTTGAGCCATCCCTGATGAATAGCGCGTGGAAGAAGATATGGCCTGAGTGTGTGCATGCTCATGATGCTTCTCAAACAGAAACTATTACACAGATTCAGCAAGACATTGTGGCCCTAGCAAATGACTTGGGCTTTGGAGAACTCTTAGAAGCAGATGTAGGCCAGTTGCTACAGTCCCATGATGAAGACTTGTCCAATGAGGAACTTATGCAATTGGAACAAGAGCGAGCTGCAGAAGAAAAGGAAGAGAATGAAGATACTCCACCCTTCCTCCGACAACTGACCACAAAAGAATTGTCTGAAGCCTTTTTCCATTTTGAGGAAGGCATGCAAATCCTCGCAAATAATGATCCCAATAATGAAAGAAAATTTAAAGTTTCAAGAGGAATCAGTGACGTAATAAGCTGTTATCGAGACCTGTACAATGAGAAGAAACGGCGTTCAAAGCAACTATCTTAGGATGCTTTTCAGCGGCAGAAATTTTCTTGGTAAAGTGATCAAGGAAAATGAAATAGCAACGGGAGAGATTTTCATGATATAGAAAAGGATCATAATGTCTTCCTGTCTCCTCTCTACTTGATGTCTTATTTTGCAGGGCAAGTCAGAGTTTGTTATATTTAGTTATGGTATTTTTATTTTGTGACTTATAAATATTAAATTTTAATTCTAGAAATGCCCCTTAAATTTGTGTTTTTTAAAAGATGAGGAGCTGCACCTAACACAGTAAAGATAGTTCCTGATCTTTGCAGAGTTAGAGCAAATATGCTTAAAGATTTTAGAAATCAGCTGCCCAGAAGCTTCTTTCTAACTTTATATCCTGTATCCTGTTGTATGTGCCTTGAGGTATGATAATCCTGAAGCAGGTTTCATTCAAGCATAGGGGATTGGTCCCAGTGGACTAATGTTTGGCCATTTCAGTGCAGTGTAATGAATGGACCCTCGGTGGTTTGCTATATCCAGCCACGTAGTGGCTGTACTTAAGCTCAGAGTGATCACCATGAATTGGACTGAATCACCCTCAGATCTACTTTCAGTTGCACAAAGGCCTAGGCCCTGGCTGCTGAGACTTCTGGTTGATGCTGAAGGAAATAGCTCCTTGACTTCTGGGCATATCTTAATCATTGCTTTTCCAGAAACATCCAGAACTCTTATTTAAAAACCATGAGGTTTGTTACTTATGATCACCCCATCCTCTCACCCAGTATCCTTCTAAGATGTGTACACACACACACATCAGGTATGTTGATATATAGATCAGGGAGGATTTACCACACACATCACAGTACACTTTAAAATTATTTAATAATACAGTAATTTGGATAATCAATACAACTGCTGAATCCATTTCTTAGGCAAGTGTTTGGGCACTTTGCTTGTCATAGAGCAGTCTGGCTTTGTGCTTACCAAAGGCAGATGCTGCCACAAGGCCTAGCCCCCTTTGTTTCCCTTGGAGGCATTTCCCATCTGTCTACAGAGAGAGCCGGTGTAATGCAGTGTCTGTTACATATACTAATTGACCCCTTGCTTATTTTTCCTTTGTAAATATGGTCTTTGGGACACTGGGGAAGATCAAAGAAAGTATTCTACTTATGGGACCCTTGATCTATGTTGAAAGTAGGGCTTATTCCACCAGGAGGAATAGCAAAGGAGGCAAGGTTCTTGAGGAAAGAGAGTAAACTCTTTCCAACAGTTGCTAACCTATTGATATTTTTGCGCAAAGTGTTGTGTTTTTTTTTTCAGGGTGGTAATCTTTTTCTACTTCTTATATGTTAGGAGAATCCCAATAACATACATGACCCTTATTGCAGAGTAAATCAGAAATCAAATTCAGTGATCACAAGTGTCATACAGAAAACAATTGTGGGGATTTGGGAATGGAGAAAAAAATCAAGGGGCATTTTAAAGTAGTCAGCTGATTCTTCCTCCCCCTTTTCTATTACAAAAGAGGATAGGGAAGAATGAGGTCCAATAACATAACATTTAGCACTCACATTGCACAATTTGTCTGCTAAAGTGCTTGACCAACATTAACTTTCTCACAGTCCCACCATGAGGTAGGTCAGTATTACTATCCCCGTTTTCCAGATGGGGCAAATTGAGACATACAGGTGAAGTGACATGCCCAAAGCTACAGAATTTGAGCAGATGAACATAACTCTGTGTTCTTGCCATGACATGCCCCAGCAGGGAACAGAGTGTAAATGGAGGAGGATTCATTAAGATTCAGAGACTTAACTGGGCCATGATCCTTTTGTCCAATTTGCAGTTTGGGCCAAGGAGCCACCTTGTCCTCTGCCTACACAAAACGTCCCCTCTTCTACTCTCATCAGGGAGGGAGATGGATGTCAGAAGGGAGCCATCCTGTCCTACAGCTACTTTTCTGACTTTATCTACCATATGTAATCAAGAACCAAAGCACAAGGCCAGCTCAAGCATAGTAATATATGCAGAGAAGGAAAAGGGGAGCAAAGGTCATGAAAATACCAGTGCTAGTCAAACAGATTGTAGCCAGATGCAGATATTCCACATGCTACTCCACCCAGTTCACTACAGCTAGAGGACACCACAGAAACCTGTAGATCTTTCTTCCATGTTCCTCCTTTGACCCAGATATGTACCTCTCTGATACAAAAGTGGATACTTTCCTATCAGTGATATAATGGGGATGTTCAGGGACTGACCTGAATGGAGTAGAGTATGGCTCTCCTTTTCAAGACACACTAGTTTTCTTCCTCCTCCAAGTATTTGGGACCCTCCCCCTTACTGGAGGGATCAGAAACTCAGCTATGGTCTCCATCAGAGGCTTTTCTACAGATAGAACAAATAATGCAGTATTGTGCCCCAGGCCCAAGAAATGAGAAAGCCTGGTGGAGAGGAAGGATGAGAGATAAAGAACAGATACAGCCTCTAATTCCACACTGAAAAATGGCTACCAAATACAAACATTCCTTACTGAAATTTTCCATCCCCATCCTCCACCTTGTCTCCTCCCCACTTATCTTTTGTGGAAGGGAATAAAGCAGCTTGCTCCCAGACTCAGGCCTTCTGTGAGGCTAGAAGTGGGACCGGCATGTCCTAGCTCTACATGTAAACAAAAAGACAAGTGCCAAATATTCAGGAAAGGCCTTGTGGTTTCCAACCCTGGTTTCCCCAGCCCCAGAGTCTTCCTCCATGGGGAACCAGAGTGGTAAGAACAAGG